CTCCTATTTGGGTGCCTATCATTACTACACTTATACACCTTACTGCTTGCCTGGTCTATGACTTTGACCACCCAGGTAATTATAGCATTAACTATTATACTAGTTAGTCTATTGTCTCTCCTAGCAGGCGTCACATCTCCTATATGGGTGCTTATTATTACTACACTTATACACCTTACTGCTTGCCTTGTCTATGACTTTGACCAACCAGGTAATTATAGCATTAACTATTATACTAGTTAGTCTATTGTCTCTCCTAGTGGGGGTCACATCTCCTATATGGGTGCCTATCATTACTACACTTATACACCTTACTGCTTGCCTGGTCTATGACTTTGACCACCCAGGTAATTATAGCATTAACTATTATACTAGTTAGTCTATTGTCTCTCCTAGCAGGCGTCACATCTCCTTTATGGGTGCTTATTATTACTACACTTATACACCTTACTGCTTGCCTGGTCTATGACTTTGACCACCCAGGTAATTATAGCATTAACTATTATACTAGTTAGTCTATTGTCTCTCCTAGTGGGGGTCACATCTCCTATATGGGTGCCTATCATTACTACACTTATACACCTTACTGCTTGCCTGGTCTATGACTTTGACCACCCAGGTAATTATAGCATTAACTATTATACTAGTCAGTCTATTGTCTCTCCTAGCAGGCGTCACATCTCCTTTATGGGTGCTTATTATTACTACACTTATACACCTTACTGCTTGCCTGGTCTATGACTTTGACCACCCAGGTAATTATAGCATTAACTATTATACTAGTTAGTCTATTGTCTCTCCTAGTGGGGGTCACATCTCCTATATGGGTGCCTATCATTACTACACTTATACACCTTACTGCTTGCCTGGTCTATGACTTTGACCACCCAGGTAATTATAGCATTAACTATTATACTAGTCAGTCTATTGTCTCTCCTAGCAGGCGTCACATCTCCTTTATGGGTGCCTATTATTACTACACTTATACACCTTACTGCTTGCCTGGTCTATGACTTTGACCACCCAGGTAATTATAGCATTAACTATTATACTAGTCAGTCTATTGTCTCTCCTAGCAGGCGTCACATCTCCTATATGGGTGCTTATTATTACTACACTTATACACCTTACTGCTTGCCTGGTCTATGACTTTGACCAACCAGGTAATTATAGCATTAACTATTATACTAGTCAGTCTATTGTCTCTCCTAGCAGGCGTCACATCTCCTATATGGGTGCCTATCATTACTACACTTATACACCTTACTGCTTGCCTTGTCTATGACTTTGACCAACCAGGTAATTGTAGCATTAACTATTATACTAGTTAGTCTATTGTCTCTCCTAGTGAGGGTCACATCTCCTATATGGGTGCCTATCATTACTACACTTATACACCTTACTGCTTGCCTGGTCTATGACTTTGACCAACCAGGTAATTATAGCATTAACTATTATACTAGTTAGTCTATTGTCTCTCCTAGCAGGCGTCACATCTCCTATATGGGTGCTTATTATTACTACACTTATACACCTTACTGCTTGCCTGGTCTATGACTTTGACCACCCAGGTAATTATAGTATTAACTATTATACTAGTCAGTCTATTGTCTCTCCTAGCAGGCGTCACATCTCCTATATGGGTGCCTATTATTACTACACTTATACACCTTACTGCTTGCCTGGTCTATGACTTTGACCAACCAGGTAATTATAGCATTAACTATTATACTAGTCAGTCTATTGTCTCTCCTAGTGGGGGTCACATCTCCTATATGGGTGCTTATTATTACTACACTTATACACCTTACTGCTTGCCTGGTCTATGACTTTGACCACCCAGTTAATTATAGCATTAACTATTATACTAGTCAGTCTATTGTCTCTCCTAGCAGGCGTCACATCTCCTATATGGGTGCTTATTATTACTACACTTATACACCTTACTGCTTGCCTGGTCTATGACTTTGACCAACCAGGTAATTATAGCATTAACTATTATACTAGTCAGTCTATTGTCTCTCCTAGCAGGCGTCACATCTCCTATATGGGTGCTTATTATTACTACACTTATACACCTTACTGCTTGCCTTGTCTATGACTTTGACCAACCAGGTAATTGTAGCATTAACTATTATACTAGTCAGTCTATTGTCTCTCCTAGTGGGGGTCACATCTCCTATATGGGTGCCTATCATTACTACACTTATACACCTTACTGCTTGCCTGGTCTATGACTTTGACCACCCAGGTAATTATAGCATTAACTATTATACTAGTTAGTCTATTGTCTCTCCTAGTGGGGGTCACATCTCCTATATGGGTGCCTATTATTACTACACTTATACACCTTACTGCTTGCCTGGTCTATGACTTTGACCAACCAGGTAATTATAGCATTAACTATTATACTAGTTAGTCTATTGTCTCTCCTAGCAGGCGTCACATCTCCTATATGGGTGCCTATCATTACTACACTTATACACCTTACTGCTTGCCTGGTCTATGACTTTGACCACCCAGGTAATTATAGCATTAACTATTATACTAGTTAGTCTATTGTCTCTCCTAGCAGGCGTCACATCTCCTATTTGGGTGCCTATCATTACTACACTTATACACCTTACTGCTTGCCTGGTCTATGACTTTGACCACCCAGGTAATTGTAGCATTAACTATTATACTAGTCAGTCTATTGTCTCTCCTAGTGAGGGTCACATCTCCTATATGGGTGCCTATCATTACTACACTTATACACCTTACTGCTTGCCTGGTCTATGACTTTGACCAACCAGGTAATTATAGCATTAACTATTATACTAGTTAGTCTATTGTCTCTCCTAGCAGGCGTCACATCTCCTATATGGGTGCCTATCATTACTACACTTATACACCTTACTGCTTGCCTGGTCTATGACTTTGACCACCCAGGTAATTGTAGCATTAACTATTATACTAGTCAGTCTATTGTCTCTCCTAGTGGGGGTCACATCTCCTTTATGGGTGCCTATTATTACTACACTTATACACCTTACTGCTTGCCTGGTCTATGACTTTGACCAACCAGGTAATTATAGCATTAACTATTATACTAGTTAGTCTATTGTCTCTCCTAGCAGGCGTCACATCTCCTATATGGGTGCCTATCATTACTACACTTATACACCTTACTGCTTGCCTGGTCTATGACTTTGACCAACCAGGTAATTATAGCATTAACTATTATACTAGTTAGTCTATTGTCTCTCCTAGTGGGGGTCACATCTCCTATATGGGTGCCTATTATTACTACACTTATACACCTTACTGCTTGCCTGGTCTATGACTTTGACCACCCAGGTAATTATAGCATTAACTATTATACTAGTTAGTCTATTGTCTCTCCTAGTGAGGGTCACATCTCCTATATGGGTGCCTATCATTACTACACTTATACACCTTACTGCTTGCCTTGTCTATGACTTTGACCAACCAGGTAATTATAGCATTAACTATTATACTAGTCAGTCTATTGTCTCTCCTAGTGGGGGTCACATCTCCTTTATGGGTGCCTATTATTACTACACTTATACACCTTACTGCTTGCCTGGTCTATGACTTTGACCAACCAGGTAATTGTAGCATTAACTATTATACTAGTCAGTCTATTGTCTCTCCTAGTGGGGGTCACATCTCCTATATGGGTGCCTATCATTACTACACTTATACACCTTACTGCTTGCCTGGTCTATGACTTTGACCACCCAGGTAATTATAGTATTAACTATTATACTAGTCAGTCTATTGTCTCTCCTAGCAGGCGTCACATCTCCTATATGGGTGCCTATCATTACTACACTTATACACCTTACTGCTTGCCTTGTCTATGACTTTGACCAACCAGGTAATTATAGCATTAACTATTATACTAGTCAGTCTATTGTCTCTCCTAGTGGGGGTCACATCTCCTATATGGGTGCCTATCATTACTACACTTATACACCTTACTGCTTGCCTTGTCTATGACTTTGACCAACCAGGTAATTATAGCATTAACTATTATACTAGTTAGTCTATTGTCTCTCCTAGCAGGCGTCACATCTCCTATATGGGTGCTTATTATTACTACACTTATACACCTTACTGCTTGCCTTGTCTATGACTTTGACCAACCAGGTAATTATAGCATTAACTATTATACTAGTTAGTCTATTGTCTCTCCTAGCAGGCGTCACATCTCCTATATGGGTGCTTATTATTACTACACTTATACACCTTACTGCTTGCCTGGTCTATGACTTTGACCACCCAGGTAATTATAGCATTAACTATTATACTAGTCAGTCTATTGTCTCTCCTAGCAGGCGTCACATCTCCTATATGGGTGCTTATTATTACTACACTTATACACCTTACTGCTTGCCTGGTCTATGACTTTGACCACCCAGGTAATTATAGCATTAACTATTATACTAGTCAGTCTATTGTCTCTCCTAGCAGGCGTCACATCTCCTATATGGGTGCTTATTATTACTACACTTATACACCTTACTGCTTGCCTGGTCTATGACTTTGACCACCCAGGTAATTGTAGCATTAACTATTATACTAGTCAGTCTATTGTCTCTCCTAGTGGGGGTCACATCTCCTATATGGGTGCCTATCATTACTACACTTATACACCTTACTGCTTGCCTGGTCTATGACTTTGACCACCCAGGTAATTATAGCATTAACTATTATACTAGTCAGTCTATTATCTCTCCTAGCAGGCGTCACATCTCCTATTTGGGTGCCTATCATTACTACACTTATACACCTTACTGCTTGCCTGGTCTATGACTTTGACCACCCAGGTAATTATAGCATTAACTATTAAACCAGTCAATCTATTGTGTGTCTTTGAGTACCCTTGTAGCTATATTGATATCACTACTATTTATGTGTTTATAATTGGGAGCTGCAGAAGATAGTGTTGATGTACTTGATCAATGATATCCTAATTATTGAATGTTTTACAGACAGTGGTGGAAACAAGTGGTTCAAGTTGTTTGATGCAGTTATATGGCGGCTCCTAATTCTGGGCTGTCTACAACCAATCGCTGCAGTGATTGCTGCTTTTATCGTCCTTCCCTTAACCTCATTCACTATTGTACTAGGTAGGTATTTTATTTTACAAGGTATACAAGGTAAACCTTTGTCTTTTTGAGGTTAGGTGTGTATTATTGAGCTACTGTATGACTATTTTCATCTACTGCATATCAGAGGTGGCGTTAACGCAATTTTTTACGTTTTTTACTCACATTTTTGCAACTCTGACGCAAATATTCATTGTCTACCAAGTCTTTCTGACGCACGTTTGTTTCACATGCAAAATCCCCGCTTGGTACTTGGTTAAATTGATCACTATACGTGAAAATACGTGATTGATCAAATTTATAATTTTGCTAATTCCGAAAATCTAACATTTCGTTCAGCGCAATCGAGCCGCTTTCCTACCGATCATTTTCTCATTTCGGTATTTCATATAATTTTTAAAGCCCTGTGATTCAGATTCAATGATAAACTTGAAAACATTGATCGATCCCTCGATTTGTTTATCTCGTGAAGCACGTTGCTAGGGGGCGTATCAAAAATGCAATAAAACGAACATAACATTGAACAATAATTTATTAATTTCATACTCCCTTCTAAGGATTTTAGTGATCGTATATTTATCTAAATTACCGCATAAAATCTTCCCTTGAATGTTCACACGCTAGATTTACGAACCTTTAGTTTCCTTCGCAAGTTCGCAAAATTCCTTCGCTAAGTTAGCAAGTTTCCTTGAGCCGTCCCCTTCATCAGCATGCGCAGATGTAATGCGCAGTAGGTTTATCAATGGTGCTCACAGTGACCGATCTATCGTAAGTTTTCACCAAGTATTTTCAATTAACTCCCTCAAGTTAAGATCTTCGATTCACTAGATCTGAAGCTGATCCTATGAAGATAGATAATGGGCACATGAAAATCCAGTCGATCGCACATTAAGGGGGGTAATGATGATAAATTAGGTATGAAAACAAATCTACTTTCGGTTTCATTTGATCAGCTATAATTACAAGATTCTACCGTATTCAATTTAAATGATGCCCAGTATTGTGGTCGGACTTATATTGCCGTTTTAGACTTTGGAATGATTGCAAAAATGTTGAATTTCAACATGAAACGCTTTGACCCCAATTTGTGTAACTCCACTCAGGGAGAAACTCCTCTCCCACTCCATTCACACCCATGACTCGCTGGACCAGATAATCAGATGATTGATAGTGACATTTTTCTTGCAATTGCCTTTAAATTAATTAATTGTTAGTTGTTAATGTGCTATAAGAGTACAATAAAAGGTATGCACAAAATCAAAAAATAGATTTTGTATGTGGTTTCTACATTTTGTATGCATTTTTACTCAAGAAAAACACTTTTATAGCTTTGACTCAACTTTTTTTCTTGTGACTCACTTTTTTGAAACTACCTGAGTCATGATGACTCACAAAAATATATACCTACCGCCACCGCTGTGCATATGTATTTTATTGTTTAGTGTATTTTGTGACTTGGATTGATTAACTACATATAATAGGCATCTTGAACTTAATATTGTCTTCTAATTTATCACACTGGGCATATTTTCATTATTTTACAACAAATAAAAATTAATTAATTAAAAGTACCACTTCTGCTTTCAGTCGGTGTTTTACGTCGTGGCTGTCGGGCATTCTGGGATACCATCATGTTCCATCTGGTTATCAAGAAGCGGGCGAGGGTTCCTGCAAGTGACAGTTTTATTGCACGTCGTATTGCTGGCCCGGGTCTTGCCTCAAATTACTTCTATCAGGTAGGAATGAACATTTTTCAATCTCTATTTCAAATCTATTTATGCGAGGGTTCCTGCAAGTGAAAGTTTTATTGCACGTCGTATTGCTGGCCCTGGTCTTGCTTCAAACTACTTCTATCAGGTAGGAATGAACATTTTTCAATCTCTATTTCGAATCTATTTATGCGAGGGTTCCTGCAAGTGACAGTTTTATTGCACGTCGTATTGCTGGCCCGGGTCTTGCCTCAAATTACTTCTATCAGGTAGGAATGAACATTTTTCAATCTCTATTTCGAATCTATTTATGCGAGGGTTCCTGCAAGTGAAAGTTTTATTGCACGTCGTATTGCTGGCCCTGGTCTTGCCTCAAACTACTTCTATCAGGTAGGAATGGAAACTTTTCAATCTTTATTTCGAATCTATAAAGTGGGCATTAACATGATCAGTATGATTAAATGAGACAGTTGGTATATACATGTTTGTGTTTTAGATTAAACCAGAGTCTTATCTGTTATGTTAATAAAAACATGTATATGCTTCAGATTAAACCAGAGCAGGCACTAGCAGCATTCGAGTCTTGTCTGTTATGTTAATAAAAACATGTATATGCTTCAGATTAAACCAGAGCAGGCACTAGCAGCATTCGAGTCTTGTCTGTTATGTTAATAAAAACATGTATATGCTTCAGATTAAACCAGAGCAGGCACTAGCAGCATTCGAGTCTTGTCTGTTATGTTAATAAAAACTTGTATATGCTTCAGATTAAACCAGAGCAGGCACTAGCAGCATTTGAGTCTTGTATGATATGTTAATAAAAACATGTATATGCTTCAGATCAAACCAGAGCAGGCACTAGCAGCATTCGAGTCTTGTCTGTTATGTTAATAAAAACTTGTATATGCTTCAGATTAAACCAGAGCAGGCACTAGCAGCATTTGAGTCTTGTCTGATATGTTAATAAAAACATGTATATGCTTCAGATTAAACCAGAGCAGGCACTAGCAGCATTTGAGTCTTGTCTGATATGTTAATAAAAACATGTATATGCTTCAGATTAAACCAGAGCAGGCACTAGCAGCATTCGAGTCTTGTCTGTTATGTTAATAAAAACATGTATATGCTTCAGATTAAACCAGAGCAGGCACTAGCAGCATTCGAGTCTTGTCTTGAACTTCATGAGTTGAAAGCTTGGAGGGATGCAACACTTAAACTCATTGAGCAACCACTCACTGAATATAGGTAAACATACAAAGTGAAATTCTAAATTTGAACAATAAGAAGTTATTAAACAGTTGTTTAATTAAATGGTTTCCTTTCACCCAAGATAACAATATGCACTGTAGGATTAAATGAGATTTTGAATTTGTTATTGATTGAGAGGGTTGCATCTGGAGAAGCCTTGATAAAAGTTTACAGAATCATTTACTTTACAACTGATGATTTTAAAATAATGACAAAACTATAGATACATTGGTCATATAATAAATGAATCACATCTGGATGAGTTGAATTTGTTCAATTCAAGGTCAACCAACACTGTGATCTATAAGTTGTACAAAATTAATAACACTGATTTGAAAATAATTGAAGTTTTAAGACTAATTTGACTTATATGAAAAAAGTCTACAAAGTCTCGTATTGAAGGCCTTGACACTTATTTGTGCAGTGTATGAATTGATTTATGATTTCAGTGACTTTGTGACAAAGGTGTTCCAGCCATTCTCTGCCAGTCTCAGCTCTCATGGAATATTTGAAAGTCTCAAAAAGGAGACTCATAATCTCACTCAAGCACTCAAGCATAAAATGGATGAGTAAGTATTCATTGTAAAACCCTCATCCTATATCTGAATCTGCCAAAATTGAATGGTTTCAGAACAATCTATAATGTACACCATCAATAGAATTTGACAAAAACTCTCTTCGAATTGCAAGATAATTGATTTAAAAACTCACTAGTATCACTTATATTAAAATAAAAGTCATTTGGAAATGTGAAATTCCAAGATATAGTATCATTAGATAGCCACTTAGTATTGTTACTTCTTTTCCAGACATGATTCACTATGAGTTGTTGAACTTTTTACAAGTTTAGGCCTACTCTATTTTCACTTTAAAGTTCAAAGCATCACCATAGTAACATGTGTATTTTACTTCAGGAGAAAACGTATGCTGCACACAGGACTCAACTCTGAGCTGAAATCAAAGATTAAACTCACAGGCAGGGAGCTGAAGGTAGGAAATATCAAATAAGTCAAGTCCTCTTTCCCTCTGACATTGTTATTAATTCTATGGAATCACCCAGGCAGGGAGCTGAAGGTAGGAAATAAGTCCTCTAGCTGTCTGACATTATTAATTGATATTATGGAACAACCCACTCATCTGTCAGTCTATTCGTAAACATTTTTATTTGAACAAATGAAAATATCCATTTGTTTGAATTAGTACCCATATATTTTATTGGTGTCCTTGCTGGTAATTTGCAAGAATGGTTCATGCTCCAACTTTGCCTTGTTTTGGACAAAATCTGCTTTATTTGGCATGTGGGGAGAGGATTTAGGACTTAGCAATAGCCTCTTGTCCAATCCCTTTCATTCACTGTAAACCAATTTCATGTATAATGTAATAATTGACGAATAAAATAATTTTAATTAATAAATGTGAGGCCACCAAATGGTGCCACTACTAATTGTTGTATACTACGCAGGTGACGATTGCGCTGTGCAGCAAATTGATTGAGAGCTTCTATCCTGAGCATGTATTGAGCAGACACCTTAAGTCACAGGAACAATTCTGGGAGGAAAATGACTTGGAACCTTATGACTGGCAAGGTAACGATTGCAATTATATTTGAAATTCTGTCTACAGGGAAATCCTTAGGCCTTCAAAGGGAGTTGAAGCTGCACATTTTAAAAAGAACTTACTTAAACACATAAAATTATAACTCTGGGGATTGTTGGAGATTACTGGGGATTGCTGGGGATTGCTGTCCCTCTCAGTTGTTTTTCTCTGGTTCATGTTTCATGTGCTTCACTACTGGATTATGCATTTAAAGTTTGACCAATCATAAAATTGCTGTTATGACAATGGTGTAATAATATTTATTATTGACCAATCATAAAATGCAAGGCATAATAATATTTGTTATTGCAGGCCTAACCAAGCAGATCCTGAGTGATGTTTTTTCTCCATCATTTCTGACACCTTTAGAAGACACAGACACTTGCTTCAAATTGCAGGTAATATGAGACAAAATGACACATGCTTCTGTATTTCAAACCTTGCTGGGCATTATATGTTTTTCACATCTTGGTCAGTCTGAATACAATATAGCCATTCTGTATTTCACAAGAAATGAATAGTTAAAAGAAAACTGTTGTTTCTAGGTGGAGCACCTTGATTTGAAACGTTACTTGAAGATGTTGACAGCTGGGGAATTTAGAGATGACCTAGATATAGTCAATGCAGTCCATACACCTAAAGGTAAATGTTTACGATTCATAAATATCAGCTTCTATTCACTTGTAAAGGGTGTAAAAGTTAATTCAAATAAACTTCTTATATTATGATTGTCAACTGGATTGGATTTTTACCAGTAAATAATTTGTCTAGCTTCAATTATAACACACAGTTTATACCCATGTATTTTTCTGTTTCACCATCTAGGTTTCATACATTTTTGATACACAGTTTTACTCACACATTTCATATATTTGACTATCTAGGTGACATAGATGTGGATGCGCCATTTTTAGAGTTGTCAGCATTCAATCCTACCAAACAACTATGATATACTGTTTTGTACCAATATATTTCATATGTTTGACTATCTAGGTGACATAGATGTGGATGCGCCATTTCTAGAGTTGTCAGCATTCAATCCTACCAAGCAGCTGGTGGAATACACAGGGTATCTAACAGACAGGTTGGTGGTGCTTCAATTGATATAGCCCTCTACATCTCTTGCAGAATCTCTCTTAAGTTGAAAAAAGCATTTTTATAAATAATGTGTGAGCACAAGAATGGCCATGGGTCAAGAAAAAAGAAATTTTCATTAGTTTTAAGATCTCTCTAAAGTATGACTTAGAGTAAATTCCAAATATCATATTGATTTTCTGAATTGAGCCTATAAAACTTAAATGGCCACAGATTCATGAATAATATGTTTGTTGAGACTTGCTACTGTTTGTATTTTCCATCTTCTAGTTTCTCTCCTTACTCATATTCATTTTGGATTTACAACATAAATGCATGGATGTTTAATCCTGGAATTTCAGAGGAGTACGCAGGAAGTGGCCATGGAAGAAAATGCTCCCAACTTACGAGGATCTAGAAAAGATGGAAGTGCCGCCACCTATCGCAAACCCCGCACATATAGCCGTCGCCATCTATAACAGGTAAAAACATTTTTACATTCTTTATAATTTGTAGTAAAGAACTGCACGTGTTTATATTCCTTGCTGAAACCATTCTCTTTATTTATTTATTTAAAAACATGCTCATTGGGATATTTTCCAGAATTTACTATAAACAACCTATCGACGTAGGTGACCCAGTGTGCCAGTTGATCATCAAAGCGGCAGAGTCCGTGCCGTACAACACCCACTCAGATTTAACAGACATCGAGCCTAGCACTCCTGATGACCACACCACAGTTTCAGACCCAGACGTTATGACATCACACATAGCTCAAGCGGAGCATAGCATGTTTTCTGATAATGATGAAAGCATCAGGCAGACCCCTGATAGTGAAATCCCTGACGATGTCATAATGCATGCTCCCCAGCAATTAAAAGAGATCCATAACATTGTTGAGAATATTGAAACTCTGGTTGATAATCTTAGTGAAAATAATTCAGAAGTTTCCCAATCTGGGGTAGTGTTGTATAGTGAAGGGGAAAGAGACACAGCTTGTGTTTTGCATATTCGGGAGAGTAGTGAAGAAACAGAGGATGTTGATACCCAGAGTGCATCTGAAGAAGAGGAAATGATTACACCCAGCGAAGGAAGTACGGAGTACACTCACCTGCCGACAAATACAAGTACAGTGTGACTATGAGAGAACCCTTGTAAGATATTACAAAGTGCTTATGATATTTCTGGTATTATTTGAAAATTGAATAATTACTAGAGACTACTTATTTCCTTATGATGTTGCATCTTGCATATGTAGAGGTCTTCTTTCTTGTTGTGTGATTGTATTAGAAAAAGGGTATTATTGTGCCATCTGTTGCAAAATCTATGTTTATGAATATCATATTTAAACGTATGGAAACTTTAATGTGTTTAAAAACACAAAGTCAAACCGATAAAGAGTGGTGCCATTAAAAAGTACTTAGTTCTGTGTATTTGTAGGCTAAGTAGAGTACAGAGGGCCAGTCCGCTGTATTGAATTTCACAGTTTTATCCCCTACGGTACCTTTACAATTAAAAGCGTAGCTTTAAGAAATTGTGAATGTATGCTTTGTTCATTGATGTGAAGTCAATTGGACCAATTGGCCTTTTAAGCAATATTTATTGGAGAGTGTGCTAGATTGAATAGATTTGGAGATTATGCCATAGTAGTGTTCTATGGGGCTGTACCATATGGCACTTAATGTTCAATGGGGCTGTACTATATGGCAGTAAGAGTAGGATGTGTATTAGTTAATTTAGATACATTTAAATTCACTCTGATCTTGTCCACTCAAAAGATTTTGTAGGCCTAATGATTTACAATTCTCTTTTATACAACTCGAAGTATAGACTAAGGACCTTGTAATTATTATGGATGTACTTTTTTCTTTCAAAATGTTTTCACTCTACAGTGTGTATTTACCAATTTAAAACATGGCCACAGTGAGATGTGTTTGAAGTGTGATGATTTTAAGTATTTGTACAAACTGTAGGTAGTAATAATAATCTATACATACTCAATATATATTTATTCCTTTGATTGAGCAAAATCAAATCAAATGAAAACATTTAAGTCTTTTAAGAATCTCATTTTCATTTAGATGAAATTAAGCTTTTTAGAGCTGTGTGTAGGGTCTGAAAATTAAATATCATACAATGAAATATTGCTTAGCCCTAAGGAACTGCTCAGCAGGATTAAACATTGCTAGACTAGGTTAACACAGGTTTAGGCAAGGCTTATTATGTGAACTTGCAAAATCGCAAAAAAATTGATCACCCCATGTACACAAGTCAAATATGGAGGCAGGATTTTGAAATCCAATACATTTCTGGTCATAAGGGTTATTATCTGGGATTAGCATTTAAGTGCTTGTATTTTTTAGAGTTTATTTTCCCACCTATATGCAAAGTTGTTTTTATATTGCAGACACATAAGTAAAATTATAATAGCACATAGTGTGACAAAACAAAGAATAAATGTACACTTTGCAATACAGTATATTGTTAACCATGTATTTGAGTTGTTTATCATACATTGTGTTGGTAACCATGCATCATGTTGTTCACCATGCATTTTGTTGTTAACAATGCCTTGAGCCGTTAACCATGCATTGTGTTGCTAACCATGCAGAGAGTTGTTAACCATGCATTGTGCTGTTTACAATGCATTGAATAGTTAACCATGTCTTGTTTTGTAAACCATGCATTGGTTTTTAGCCATGCATTTTTTGATTAACCATGCATTGAGGTGTTAAGCATGCATTATGTTGTAAACCATGCATTGAGTTGTTAATCACGCACTGTTCGAACCAAGCAGCTAGATCCAGTAATGCATGTTTATTAAATGTTTGCAATTGTTTTTATAAAATACATATGGATATATGCATTTAGAATGTTTAGATATGCATCATTTTATAAAAATCAGTTGCAGAGAAATCTTTTTTGTACCCATATACTGCAGTAAGTTGATATTGATTTTTGTTATGTAATTTTTATTGGTATTGCTAGTAGTTTTTGTATTAAAAGATGCCTATCAATCTGTAATTGGTTAGTTGTTTAGTGCAATTGAATTGGCTTTATCATTATTACATGTACATGTATATATTGATACAATCCCACTGTCAATTGTTCTTATGCTATCATTTATTTATTATATAATCTCAATATAATCTCTCACCATTGTGCCAAATATTATTGTCCAAGTTTGTATTCGTTTTGTAGTTTGATTTTTTCACCATTTTTTATTTTATGGTAGAATTTCAATATGAGGAGTGAGGCTCTTCATACTTATGCCTGGGTCAAATTTGCTCCGATAAATCGGCTGGCTCCTTGACGATTAAGTGTTTTGCTCATTATTTTATTCAATTTTGAACAAAGTACTCAATCGGACGAGCGCCGTAGTGAAAATCGTGGCAAATGTGACCAAGGCATTAGAAAATAAACCTGTTGACATAGCTTATAGGTAGCCATGTTTACATGTTATGCATTTCATCATGTCATACAAGCTAAAGTCTTTCGCAAATGACCATGATGACCAATACGTTCAACCTCCTTTGCTTTTAAACATTATGAATCTAACAAATATAGGTAGCTCATGAAAATCTATTGAACAAAGATATTTAGCATTAGTATTGATTTAAAGAAGCACTTCTGATTTTCTGTTAAAATCAGCAAATGGAACAAGAATCATGAGTTGAAATATAAGAGACAATTATAGGACAAAACATTTTATTTACTCTTTCCATTACATTTGATTATTAGTTGATAATGTAAGGAAAGCTGAAGTTACATATAATAAAAATGAAAAAGTCAGTTATTGGAGCGAAAAGCACATCTTTGTAATACAACTTTTTGAAAACCTATACACATGTACCGATGGCTAGTTTTAAGCAGTTTAGAAAGCATTGGTTTTGCCTTTATTACAGCTGATTCATGTATCATTTTAAAGTTTACTTTGCACTGTACATCGTTGATCGTACTATTATATAGTAATAATATATGATATATAATGATACTAAAACCCAATCATGTACAAATTATATATGATACATATAAATAAGACAATAAAATAACCTTGATCAAATGTTAGTCATGTTTTAGAAATCAATTGGCAAAGTGATGGAGAGCTATTTTATCAAGCATTTTTAAACCAATCCAAAATGTTTTTAATGTTTTCTTCTCTTTACAGATCTTCTTTACTTCACATTATATTTATGGCACTTCTGCTGCAGCGCGCTCCAATGTTTTCTTGTCTAGACCTGTCAGGCCTACTCCCCCATCATGGACCAAGCAATGTCCATTCATCATTGAGGCATCGTCTGAGGCAAGGTACACTATCATCTTTGCACATTCCTCAGCTGTTCCAACCTTGTGTACGGGAGTCAACGATGTCATTAAATTAGCTACAAGTAGAAAAATATGGGTTACAATTAGAAAAATATGGGTTACACGTCGAAAAATATGGGTTACAAGTAGAAAAATATGAAATATTGGTTACAAGTAGAAAAAACGTACGTTTAACGTAACCTGGACATAGTTACTCCGTTACATTAAATAATCTTCAGATCATTTATGTGATATGTTTGGCATTCACAAATGGTGTGAGTGGGACCCTGGGAGTAGGATTTTATTCATATTGGAGATTGGTAAAATGTAATATTGGAAAGGTTTGTTAAAAGATATCAGTCGATTTGTCAAACTGATTTACTTCTACGTAACCAAAGCATCATGATAACGTAACACCTACCTCAAAGAAGGTACATTAAGACAAATCGACAAATATGTATGTATGTAATGTATCAATATCGACACTTATAGAACTTCGTAAAGATATTTAAAATTACTTAATTAAAAAAAATTACTTAATTGCTCCGGAGCGTTCCTTTTCAGAAACCCTCTGGTCTGCCTACGGCCAACATTTTGCAAGTACACCACCATTCAATACGCCTGTCATTTCGATCGTTTTATTTGGAATTTCAATGGGCGAATTTCATGTTCAAGCTTGATGTCAACTGAAGTACATCCGTGAACTATTTATGTCGTAAACTTGGATTTTGGGCTAAAATGACGCCATTTAAGAGTTTTCATTTTAGTAAAAACTGTAACAATTTTTCATGTTCAATTGAATCATTCTTGTTTTTTGTTTGCCTAAAATTCGATACATTGCTCACGCTATGGTCGTCTTATATATATTTTGCATTAAATATTGATCCTTAAAATTAATTCCAGATTTCTATGAAGAAAATGCATGATTAAAGAAATAATTACGTCACACGTAATTTTTGTTTTCGTATTTTTAAACTGAAAAATGAATACTTAATCGTTATCGGATCAGATAAATATTTCGTATACATTAAATTAAATACCTTCCGCGAATAATGGGTGATACGTATTTTTATATAACAATATTTATTTGGTGTGCGAAATGCCTAAACTTTAGAGATAGAAACTTCAAATAGATCCGTGATTTGTGTCGTCAAACACGTTATTTGTGTAAAAAATGAGCCGTTTTAAGTTTGAGGTTTAGTAAAAACTGTAACGATCGTTGGATTTAAAGTGAATCTAAATAATTTTTTCACGAGCATGATTTTCGATACATTATCCAACTTTTGTACGATCTAAAATGAATCAGAAAAATAAATTATTCTATGAATTAATCAGACAAAGTCGAAGTTCAAAAAAGTTAAAAGTAGCCCATTTTCCAACGCATTTTATACCCATTTCCCGTGGTCTTGGGCAGTTGAAAAATACACCATTAGATAGAGGAGGTACTAATCATTATAGGCATGCTATTCTTATTTTATTAAAGTAACATCTTGATTGCTAAACAACTCGTTAAAGACCATGCCCAATCGGGCGTAAACAAGTAGTTCGAAAATGCCGAAATTATTACTACGCACTTTTTTTTAAAAACCGGTAAACAACAATGGGTTTATAACGTCGGCCGACAGACTGCACCGTGTAGACATTGTAGTCCATTAATGAACTGATCACATCTACGACGATTGGATTAAATCGACAAGATTTACTAACAAACATCATGATGTTTGTGGGTCAATCAAGATTATAGAAAATTATCTTCATGGTATTAGAATTGTTGAAATTCTGAACCACAATACAATTAAATAAGAAATGTGCAAAGGCATTCCTATCGCGACAAAGTGTGTTATGTAATACATGTTTGAATTTACTAGCTTCTAAAGATTACCGTAAAATTCGTCTTCTTTTTCTGTTGACGTCATGCCAGAACTTCTTAATAAATTTGTCCGAACATAGCCGGGATTAATAGAATTAACACGGACTCCTTTCTGGCCAAATTCGAGTGCCGCACACTTTGTAAACATATCAAGTCCAGCTTTGGAAATGCTATAGTATGGCACAGCATTGTAAGGTCGACTGCTTGTTACGCTAGACATATTTACAATATTTCCTTTGTATTTTTCGAGCAGAGGCAAACACATTTGAGACAGATGTATTGGTGCCTTCAAAAGCACGTTAATCTGTGAATCGAAATTTTTCATGTTTCCGAGTTTAAGATCATCAGCGATCGCAACGCCGGCATTATTAACAAGTACATCAAGTCGTTCAAATTGTTCATTGACTCCAGCCAGAATCGTATCTAGGACTTCATCATTGTCCACATCGCCTAGTACAGACGGGAATTTGGCATCTTGTCTGCCAATCCTTTTGCACTCTTCCACAGCTTCTTGTAGC